TCTGATTTCCTATGACAATTAATTTAACTGTCAACAAACTTTTTTAATTTTAGCTATTTGTACGCCAAATTTTTATACTTTCAAATGTTCCTATCTAAATGATTCCTCCGTATTCAAACCGAAGATTTCTGTACCTATGATTGATAGCGTTTTCAGCTTATTTTACTAAGATTTTAATTACAGCCAATCAGTCTCCAATGCAAGCCTTACTCGTAATTTACTTAGCCTTATAATTAAATTTTCTCACTTAAATGTTAGCTTATGTTGGCCCTTAATAACAAACCACAGTTGCTCACCTTATTAATTATTCAAGTTATCTAATTCGTACCTTTCTAACACTTATCGTTACTTTGCTAGCATTCGCCTTAATCTTCTTATGTGTTTACTTATCTGGATTCTTATGTATTTTTAGAGGAATGTGTAGCGCACTCACCGGGATCTATTAGCTGTCTTACATTTGGACGAAAATCTGGTCGTGTGATGGCCACTGGCGGTGAGGACAGACTAGTAAAACTGTGGGCCGTCGGAAAGCCTAGTTGTATTATGTGCCTATCCGGCCATACATCTTCGGTCGAGGCAGCTGAATTTAGCCGAGAAGAAGACCGAGTCGCGGCTGGTTCACTTTCTGGGTCTATTCGAATATGGAACTTGGAGGAGGTCAAAAGTAACCCAACCCGTCTATTTTTATTTCTCGCAGCTTGTGCTCATACATTTTTGCTTAAGTTGTTTGGCTTGTCCTAGATTATTCAATATTGTTGCATTATCTTCGCTGAAAATACTAGATATTATGTAGCAACTATGTTTCTATAATAAACGTCAATTGAGTTATTTGTTAGTTTACATAACTTGTGGCAAGTTTAATATCCCTTAAAGGCATTTTTTAACGAAGGGTGGGGCATTAGGTTTTTTGGAGTTCTTAATTTCTAATAAAATGTCATTAGCTGGAACTAAATATACTAATTGGCAACCATACTGGCCACCATACACCTTAATAAAAGTTGTAATTTTGTCGTCAAAACTCTCAAGATATCATTTAACCCGCTTGCGAGAGGAGCGATTAATCTATCTGGTTTTGATATATCATTCAAAGAAGGATATAAAAACACAATTATAGATTTTAAGGTCTAAGTTACGTAAAGGTGTCTAGTAAAGTAGTAATAAATTTTGTAAATAATATTGTTTCGTTTATAAATTGGGTTTCTCATATATTTATAAACACTCCTAGAATTTTTTACAGTCGATTCTTAACAGTGATTAATTTTTTAATAAAACTATTATACAACGAAAGGAGGCCGTGATCATACAAAAGGCCATACCATCTTAATCCTCATACATCCGATTAAAATTTTATACAAAATTATGTTTTTTATATTTTTTGAATCTATTTGCATTTTTATTTGGAATCTGTCGTAGCGAATGGGCATAGTTGTGCTACATAGGTCTATGAATTATAACTTATCATTAATAGTCTGTTTTACAGTTAACATCTATTTTTCCTTTTAGTGGTGAGAGCTCTTTCCGGTCACAGCTCCTCTGTCCGCACTCTCGAC